TCTCTCTCACTCTCACTCTCACTCTCACTCACTCTCACTCTCACTCTCACTCTCTCTCTCTCTCTCTCTCTCTCTCTCTCTCCTCTTGCAAATGAGCCTCAGTTAGCGGGTTACATGGCGGCTTGTTACGCCGCGACGGAACGGCACCGTCCAGTGTCTCGGCCGACGCCGAATGTGGCTGCAAGGTTAAACGCCCGTCTAATCACGGGGCTGGCAGCCGAAATGAATTGCCTCCGACCGGTCATGCCATCTCGCACCAACATCTCGACAACGGTGGGATCGCGGCGATTCGGGAATGGTAGCGTGCCATGGTGAATGATATGGTCATGTGTATGACGTGGCACGGGCTCGAAGATGGATTTTGTTCTCTTCCACGGGTTTGCACGTTTTGTGTCACATCTCGGCACCCATGGTACCAAACACTCGGGATTGGCGCGCTTCGATGATGAATGGAGGGAGTGAGATGATAATGTGTGGTGACACGTGCCACGTGATGGCGCCCACGAGTTGAGCTATGAATTTACGCGTTTGTATTATTTTCAGGGGCTTACACGTTTTTGCGATATCTCAGAAATCAGGGATAAGGTATGACGAGACTGGCATGCCTCGATATGCGATCTAACTGGCAATCACTTTAACGTGTACGATGTGACAGCTAACAGCTAATGTGCACGTGTCATGTGACATGTGCACATTAGCTGTGAAGATGTAGTTTGCCATTTCGTCCATGTTTTACGCTTGACGCGGGATTTACGCTCTTATGGCACGTAGTAACACGAGACTGGGATGCTGCGATAGGCCATTAAGCGGGAAATTCTATGGTGTCACAGGTGCGGGGTGGCACCCTGCACGTGTCGGGCACACATAGTTCAGGAAGACTTTTGCTTTTGCTCTTTTGCTTTTTCACACTTTTGCTCTTTTCCACGAGTGTACATGTTTTGCGCCACGCCTCGGCAACTAGGGTACCTAAAACCGTGATGATGGATGTTTTTTTTTTTCTCAGGTTGATAGATTTTGCTCTCTCCCACAGTTCTATACGTTTTGTACCACATTTCTGCATCCAGGGGATGGGGTGCACTGGGGAGCAGCGTGCTTGCTAGTGAATCGAACTGGCAATGACGTGGTATAAATTTTGGCGTCACGTGTGCGCGAGCCAGGAGACTTATTTGGCCGCTACCGACCGTTTCTCACTGTTCGTTACAATACAATGCGTTCAATACAATGGCAGTGTGTGCTGCCATCATTCAAAAAGCTGACAGTTGATGGAAGGGACAAAAATCACCGGTCACTTCCTATGAGCAATCATCGGTCCCATGGAATAGGTTTGCATTTGTTGCAGAGAGCGCAGGTGAGATGCGCTCTCTCTCGCCGGCGGCCGCCAGAGGCCGCCAGCACTGCGCGCGGCCTTCGGCCGAGTCTTTTAAACATTTTGCGCGATATGTCGGCTCCCGGTCATCTAGAACCGTGATTTGAACTGTAAATTATACATAATTCAAAATTTTACGTCTTCTTACGGCGCAAGGAGGTAAGTGTTCAAACGCATGTATTTACTAAACAGAGAACTGCGCCGTCTAGAGCAGTCTTTTCGACACAAAAATTGTGCCAATAGTCAAAAGTGAACTTGTTTCATCATACCTGATGTTTGCTTTAATATCTTCATATGTGAAACACTGCCTTTAAGGTGCGCAGGGTGCAGAGGCATGGGATTTGTTTTTCATTGGGACGGGCTGTGTTATAAAATGGTGGAGCTGTCATGCGCCCGTGGAGCATCGTGAGGGTGACCGTGACTTGTCGCAAATCATTTGGAATTGGCTTCTAAATTATTCGAACAAAGGACAACGGACCAGGTATTGGGAAAAGTCAGATAGAAGAATAGAAAAGTCAGATAGAAAATCAATGTCTGTCAAAGATGCGACTTGCTGTTGAAGGCTGACATTCCTGTCTTGTGGTAATTGGATTTCAAATTGTTCGAACAAAGAACAACTGGCCAGGTATTGGAAAAAGTCAACTAACTGTCCACTGCATGGCGACTGCATACGTCGCAGGTATATGTGGTGCCGCACATTGCGCATGTCTTATGCAAAGGTCTCGCATGTGCTGGTTGGTGCCGCCCGTGCTCCGCTTCGTCGATTTTGATAGTTTTTATTCAGATCATCACCCGAGGGCCTAAAACATGACCAGCTGTGGCCGAACTTTCGAAGCAACACCTGCTCTCGCTATAAGCGTTCCCCGCCCGTTGGCGAGCTGCCTGATGCCAAAAATGGCCTCGGCAGGCCGCGGTGTGTTGAAACTTCTGCCCAGACACGGCCTGCCCCGGTCCCATTCTCCGAACGGTAGCCGGTCACAGTGGGCTGGGCCTGCCGCCGGACAGGCCGAGCTGACCATCAGCTCCCCGGGGTGTGATGGCTGCCGGCCTCGCCCCGGGTCCGGGTCGCCTCCCGCCTGCGCGCTGCCGGTGCGCCGGCCACTGCAGCCGTCAGATGGCCCACGCCGCCTGAAATCTGTGTGGTGTTGGCTGGCGCATCAGCACGAGTATATTTGTGGGCTTCCCGTAGGTGCTTGCCAGTGTCCCAAGCAATGTGGAGCGAGCTTGACGTGTCTTCCGTCTGTGTATGCCATCAGAGGATTAGATCACACAACCCCACACTAGTAAGAGACGAATCACCGTTCACAACAAACGGACTACCGCATGCAGGTGTAGAATGTACAGAGATGAGATTGCGGGCGAGTTGGCGCATGACATGACCTTGAGGCCTAATTAAAGCGCCGCCAGACTACGTAACTTCCAGGGATCTCGAACCACACCGCAACTTTTGCGGTCTGTAATTACCAAACTCAACAACTTCCCTTGCCGACGGCCAACCTGTGCCGATGGCCGACCTGTGCCGACGGCCGACCTGTGCCGACGGCCAACCTGTGCCGACGGCCGATCTGTGCCGACGGCCGACCTGTGCTGACGGCTGATCTGTGCCGACGGCCGACCTGTGCCGACGGCCGACCTGTGTTGACGGCCAACCCGTGCCGACGGCCGGTCTGTGAGGAAGGCCGACCTGTGCCGACGGCCGATCTGTGCCGACGGCCGACCTGTGCCGATGGCCAACCTGTGCCCGCGGCCGGTCTGTGAGGAAGGCCGACCTGTGCTGACGGCCGACTTGTGCCGACGGCCGACCTGTGCCGACGGCCGACCTGTGCCGGCAGCTGACCTGTGCCTGCGCATCTTCGGCCTCGCGCCATCTTCGGCCCGGTTTTGGCAATCGTTTATCACACGCTATCATCCTTACGCGGTGACACCAGTTGCGTGACCGAGTTTGAATTGATTTGTTTTATCTGGGCGGCTATTGGTGTCGAGATTGGTATTGGATCGAGAGAGATTGTATTGGTGTCAACAGAGGTGTTGCACGGGTAGCGTGACGTGTTCTAGCCGGATTGCTCGATGCTAGCAGCGATGTCAGATTAGCGGAGAGGCTGAGATCGATCTGCGACGTTCCGATCACAGGCCTCCGCAGATAAGGCCGATGTGTCGGGATCAACGGCCTAGCGCGGATGTTTTCTCCTTTCCGGACGGATCTAAAGTCGCATTCAACAGGCCGAATGTTTCTTTTCGGAATGGCCGAGCGGTAGGTTCCGCTCGCCAGGTGGTTTTTGGAGCAGGCCGCTAGTCGCGCTGTACCGCAGGCTCCGTTGACCCCTACTCGTCCAGCCTTCGTGCAGCCTTATATATATTCGTGCAGTCTTATAGTGCAGGTATGGATATGTGGAAACGAGTGAACTGCCGCCGATCTTGGGCTAGTTGTATCAGCAAGCACGTTTTAGAACGCTGATGTAAATTATGACGCACAATGTGACGCGATAACGTTCGTTATATTCAACGATTTGCACCTTCGCTCATTTGGCGTGTACTACGGGTGTCTTAGTCATTCGTCGCAATAAACGGCAATTTTGTATGCTTGCTTCGTAGAATGTGGTCAGTTTTCGGTGCATCGCAGTGCAGGGTGTGCTTTTCCCGTCTGCTGTGTGACACGATCTGCGCTGCTTTCGTCCGTAACAAGTCAGAATGGACAAATCATCGCCCCCCCCCCCCCGCAAATGGGCGGCTCAGTCGTCTGAGAGTCGGCGGTCCGCCTTCTGGTCGTACGTCGGGCTGCGTCTAGACCGCCGGTGTTGGCCGTGTTCCAGGATCTGCACTACTTTCCGTTCCGGCCGGCCGACTCCATCGTGTGCGCCTGGACCGCTATGGAGCACGTCCACAAACAGAACGGCTGCCTGTTCGTGCTGCCCGGCTCGCACAAGGGCGAGCTGTACCCGCACGAGTATCCCGAGTGGGAGGTACGTCACCCCGTCACCGAGCACCCAGTCGGTGGCACGCCCGCCCCTAGCGCGCGAGCGCTGGGTGCAGCAGTCCGCCGTGCGATCCCCGACTGTCCCTGAAATGCCGGAGTGCTGCGCGCCTGGCCAGCCCGGGGCGCCCGCTTGTTCCTGTGGCACAGGAGACTGGCACGGCAGGTCACTGGGAAGCGCCCGAGTGACGGCTTTCGAAGCATACTCACCATAGGAAATTGCCGTTTTATGGATTGATATTTGTTGAAACGTCTCAAAGCGTCTTAGGTGTTAAGCGACATTCTGTGGCGGAAATCGGTGTCAAAGCTTTCAGATTGCTAAGCTGCCATATTTTCCGAATTCAGAAAGTTAACTGACTGGTTCCAAACAGCGAAAGTTAACTGACTGGTTCCAAACAGCAGGCTGTTTAGAACAACCTGCTGGTAATCGTACGTATGTTTGATTGTGTTTAACGCTAGTTGTGGCATCTTCAGATGCATTTGGCAAGAGGCGGTGAGACGTGTAACTTGCGCTGCATTTTTTAAAGCGTTTTTGAATATTGCAAAAGCAAGGACTGCGTGGCCAGCGTGTCAGGCTGTAACGTGCGCACAGTCTGAATGATGACCAGTCTAGCGTAGTTGGCTGTGCAAAGGTAAAACATTCGTATGTGCAGTATTATTTGATTAAAACGCGACTTTTTACGATAGCCGTTGTTGCGAACAGATCGAAAAGTCGCCACATCTGGTAATACCCGGCATTGGCAGCGTTATTGGCCATAGCCGTTGTTGAGAACAGGTCGAAAAGTCGCCACATCTGGTAATACCCGGCATTGGCAGCGTTATTGGCTATAGCCGTTGTTGAGAACAGATAAAAAAGTCGCCACATCTGATAATACTCTGCATTGGCCGTGTTATCGGCGATAGCCGTTGTTGCGAACAGATCGAAAAGTCTTCACATCTGGTGGTACCCTGCATTGGCCGTGTTATCGGTGATAGCCGTTGCTGCGAACAGATAAAAAAAGTCTCTACATCTGGTAATACCCTGCATTGGCAGTGTTATTCGCGTTTCAGTTGAAGTCAAAGCAAAAGCTCATTACGTTATGTGGCTGAAGCATTTCGGGGATGGTGGAAACATTTTCGGCGTTTGTCACTTTGTTTTATGAAATGCCAAAGCGTGTTTTGTCAAAGCAAAGTTTTGTCACCATTTTCAAAAGTATGTTTATGCTGAGATCATACTGGCATCGTTGGGATGGGATGAGGTGTATACCAAAACAGCATTAGTCTTAAGTAACCATTGCAAGTAATTCACATTGGCCCATGCGAGACACGACAGAACAAAGGGAAACGTTTTTTTTTTTTGTAACACGCAAAATTTCGGCTTATGTGCTTGCCGCCCGCTCGTGCTTACGTTCCCAGACAGGGAGCGTCAGCGAATCCGGAGCGCATGTCTCATGTCTAACTCGCGCTGCAGGTCTGGCGTGGTGGAAGGTGTTGCGGCCCTATGTACGATACGAACCACTAACCGAGGCTTCGGATTAACACGTGTTCTCGATTTGCTCAGCACCAGTGACGACACAGGTTGAAGTACGTTACGCCAGATCACTTTTTAAGGGTGTGCTCCGGTTGGTCCGAACGATATAACATCTACGTGACGTCATGTAGAAAGTGTCATCCGGCCGTTGGTCGTTTGCCGAGGGCTTAGCCCACAAGGGTTATATGTGACGTCATGCAGGTGTTTAATGGGACGCACAGAATATGTTGGGCCTGTCTGGTCACTTTGAAACGACTTGGCGTGGAAACTGCAAATGCTGACAAGCACAAAAAAAAACACGAATACGCGGCACGAGTTGAGCATCCGTGCAAACTTCCCCTGCTTAGCCCTGCAGGTACACGTGTCGTTAAGTAAGTTAATCATCGTCTCAGGGGGATAAAAGTTATATTGCTAGGGTGTCTCAGACCTCTGCCCTTAGGTTAACCTGTAATAGCTTTTGAAGTGCTGGACATGGCACTGAAATTTGCCTGACTGAATTTTCATCATGTTCGCAGCAGTGAAAGTGTGATGTTTCTGCCCTTAAACGGTGTGAATGGAGTGAAAGGTGAATGAAAAACGTGCGAAAGAGAGAAAAGGGCAGGGAAAAGGGAGCGAAGGGAGAACACCATATTTGTGTGAGGTTTTGAACTGAACTAGATATATTCAAGATCATTTAGTGCAGTTCGCAGCCTGCCATTCTACATAGATCTGAACTAAACACTAAGATGTAAACCCTTCTGGTTTCTGAACTACACACCCGCGAAGATGAGCAGGTTTTTCGGGAGACTATTTCAAGGTCACCCAGGTATCCATGACCCCATAATGACATCATTCAAATCCTGCCATTCCGTTGGTCATGCCGTAATCAAGGCCAATAAAAATGCAGTTTTCGAATCGTTCATATCTGGCGTTCATGAACATGATTTTCAGATATAACGGCCGTCAATTGGCTCTCAATAAAAATTTCGTAAGTTGTCCAGTGCATTAGCGATGAAAATTATTCGTACAGATAACGTAGCAATAATAGCCGTATTCCTCGGAGAAAAACCGGGGGAATGGAGATATAGTTGGGTTGATATTTCAGCAACATGCGTTTATCGAAATGATAGCATAAATCAATTCAAAATTGCCCGCCGATGATCGTACTCGACTTTTCAATTAAAAAAAAAACAGCAAGTCACAGTTTTTACAGCGCACGAGTTGAAGTACACATGTAGCACGCATCGCGCACCAATTACACATGCAAGTGATTTCAATTGAACGGACATCGCACATCACGCGTCAGGAATCACTTACACATGTGAACGATTTTAAGCAAGTCTACGTCGCACATAAAGGCACATATGACGTTCGCATAATCGGCCATGATGAGCCCTGTATGTGAAGATTTGGTCGCTGAAGTTTTATAAGAATAGATTCACTTACTTTCCTGTCTGGGTGGTCTTGTGCTCTGTAGATGGCTTTAAGACCTTAAAGGGACATAGGGTCCATACCTCCCTCGATTTCAGCCTGAACGCGTTTTGCCAAGAACTAAGCTCCGAAAGTGGTATTCCATGTTTTGTTTTTAGCATCTCGCAGGTGTTCATTATACCGCAAACGAATAGGGCGCATGGACACCCCGACATAGACTATGTCCCTCCCATGGTTTTCACAAAGTCTACACCTGATTTTATAAACCACGTTTTTTGCGTGCAAACCCTTTGAAATCCAGAACTGCATAAATGACATCTATTGCCGCCTGGATACTTAGGCTTCGAGATGGAAGAGTTCACCAGAGACTTTTTACCTTGTTGTCGTTCTTTCAAGCTATGCGTGCGCGCATTGTTGGTTTTTAACAATGCGTTTTATTTTCCAAAGCAAATGCTCATCTATGTAAGGTAGCGCTAAGAATCTGTCTTCTGATAGGACGTGTTCCAGCCTCCTACGACCCATTCCCCATGCGCTCAACGTTTTTTTACGTCTTCCAGCATTCTACCTAACAGTTGCGGAGAATATCCAGTGCCCAACTGCAGAGCCCATATTGTTGTGCTCTTTCTTTCGTTTTCACTACTTGATGAGTTGTTTAAAGCCCTTTGGAACGTGTTACGAATTATGTCGTGCCTAGTGGAAGTTGGATGCGCGGATTCGCAGTGCAGAATGATACCAAAGTTGGTAGGCTTAAAAAAGAGCCTCGTTTCTGACTTTGTGCGATTGTTTCTCCTTTCCACCATCACTAGCTTATTCAAATAGGGGACCCCCTTCCCGCCCCTCGTAAGCTCCATGGTAAAAGGTAGATTTTGATACTGGTTGTTCAGGAACTCTTAAAACTCTTCAAGGGAACGCTGTCCGTACGTCATACCCCAACAAAATCACCGATGTATCTAGCTAAGAAAGTTGGTTTTAATGGTCTGGCGGACGGGGCCTTCCTTTCAAATTGGTCTAACCAACTATATCTACATTAACCCAACTATGTCTCAATTCTCCGGGTTTTTCTCCGAGGAATAAGGCTATTACTACTGTCTCTCAATCAGTGTTGTGCTGGGTACAATGGCGTAAACAAAGGCATATTGAGGAGCTCATTTACTAAACAGAGAAATTGTGTTGTTTAGGGCAGCCTTTTCTGTTTAAAAAGCATTCCAGTAGTTGTAAATGGTGTGCTTATGAATGTGATATAAACTGTTACCGTATATAAACCGTAAATCATAAACCGTTAAAGGGAGCGTTCACATTTGAGGATTCTTAAGGGTTCTTTCTTAAGAACCCTCAAATGTGAATATTCCGTTTAACGGTTTACCATCTATAGCCTCTCGCTTGAAGCGACGTCGGTGGCGTTTTGCTCAAATGAAAGAGCTGACGTTTATTTCTTACAGCAGATGGGCACTTAAGGTTTTGCTTTTGAACTGATCACTCTGAAATGCATTATTACCGTTCCAGCTTTTCTGCAGGCTTAGGTCATCCAAGATTCAGCTAGGCAAAACGTTTACCTGTGTGGCTACATCCAAACTTTGGAAGGTTATACGATTTGAGTCTTAGCGGCATATATATTACGGCTGTGGGAGGTCTTTCTAACGCTGCTGTCCCATTGACGTCACTTGTCAAGATGTTGATATAGCCGGACGGGCTACTGCAACAAAGGCCTTTCCCGTTTGACCTGGCGTGACATGTGACTGGCTACATCCGTCGGTATCCGCAAGCGCCCATGTCATAGAGTTACTCAACAGCTGCTCAACACAACTTGCTGCATTTTGACATGCCTAGTTCTTAAAGTAACGGAAGCGATCTGCAGTGTCAATGTGCCCCATGCGAACAGATGTCACCTGGCAGAGGTTACACTTGCCAGTGTCACATTCAGTCACACTGATCTGACACAGTTTGACGACAACGCTCCAAAGTCAGTTTCCCCATGCCTCTAGCCTGCATTTTAACGGATGTTTGGGGAAACTCTGAGGCTTTTTCATGCAGCGAATGTGAAAATGAGCCATTCGTTGGGCGACGGCTAAATGTTTTGCGCTGCTGGTGGCCCCCGCTGCGGCGCTCTTTCGTCCGGCGTGCCACCAACGGTGCCCTGGATGGTGGTGTAATTCATTACGTTGCTGGTGGGTTTGCGAGAATTCAGCTGTGTCCGACGGTTACTTGTCACTAGAATACAGTCTTCATGATGGCAATCGGGGTGCATGCCGAGGTGACGCGGGCTCGGCATAGCTGACGGCTGTATTGTCGTACGGTCATGCCGAGGTGACGCGGGCTCGGCATAGCTGACGGCTATATTGTCGTGCGGTCATGCCGAGGTGACGCGGGCTCGGCATAGCTGACGGCTATATTGTCGTACGGTCATGCCGAGGTGACGCGGGCTCGGCATAGCTGACGGCTATATTGTCGTACGGTCATGCCGAGGTGACGCGGGCTCGGCATAGCTGACGGCTATATTGTCGTACGGTCATGCCGAGGTGACGCGGGCTCGGTATAGCTGACGGCTGTATTGTCGTACGGTCATGCCGAGGTGACGCGGGCTCGGCATAGCTGACGGCTATATTGTCGTACGGTCATGCCGAGGTGACGCGGGCTCGGCATAGCTGACGGCTATATTGTCGTACGGTCATGCCGAGGTGACGCGGGCTCGGTATAGCTGACGGCTGTATTGTCGTACGGTCATGCCGAGGTGACGCGGGCTCGGCATAGCTGACGGCTATATTGTCGTACGGTCATGCCGAGGTGACGCGGGCTCGGCATAGCTGACGGCTATATTGTCGTACGGTCATGCCGAAGTGGCGCGGACTCAGCATAGCTGACGGTTATATTGTCGTACGGTCATGCCGAGGTGACGCGGGCTCGGCATAGCTGACGGCTGTATTGTCGTACGGTCATGCCGAGGTGACGCGGGCTCGGCATAGCTGACGGCTATATTGTCGTACGGTCATGCCGAGGTGGCGCGGGCTCGGCATAGCTGACGGCTATATTGTCGTACGGTCATGCCGAGGTGACGCGGGCTCGGTATAGCTGACGGCTGTATTGTCGTACGGTCATGCCGAGGTGACGCGGGCTCGGCATAGCTGACGGCTATATTGTCGTACGGTCATGCCGAGGTGACGCGGGCTCGGCATAGCTGACGGCTATATTGTCGTACGGTCATGCCGAAGTGGCGCGGACTCAGCATAGCTGACGGTTATATTGCCGCACGGTCATGCGCTTCACTTTTCGTCAGCGCATGGTATAAGCGAAATGGGCCACGAACGGCACAGTTTGCAGACGTCGGTGTTACAAGTCACGCGGCCTGTTCTTCAACGTTGAGCAGCCGGCTTCGAACGCTGCCTCAATATCAACATCCTGTACATGCCAGTATCGGGCAACACATCACTCCGTGTAAAGCCAAAGCTCTTGCAAGGCATTTCTCTAAACCCCACATACCGCAGACTCTCCACCCACGTAAGTGGCATATCGAACAACGTAGTATCTTGGGTGCGTAAACGATATTGCATGTCATTGAGAATGCCACATAACTCAGCAAAACATATTTGCGGATGTATCGCACAAGTCTAGGACTTTGTTCCACTTTTGCTTTATTTGGTGCAAGTGTGCTAGTCGCGAGGGCGGCAGCGCTCTCGCCCTTACACAATGCCCTTTGTTAGTTTCGCTTGCCACCACATCATGACTCCGCGGTGTGCTGGGCTGACATGGGTGGTCTCCTTCACGCAACAGTCTCTGTGTGAGCTGCTGACCGACGTGCCGAGCACTAGGCGTCATGCCCTGACATTGTCAGCTCTCGGGCGGCCGCCGCGCCGGCCGGGGGATTGACACCGGCGGCTGACTGGCGGTCAGCGCCGCACCGGCCCGCTGGGACCCGCCGGAACACGCTGGGACCCGCCGGGACCCATTGGTACCCGCTGGGACCCACTGAGACCCGCTCGGACCCACTGGGACCCGCTGGGACCCGCTTACCAGGCGTCCGCCCGCGCTCTGTACGGCCAGACAGCGCCCGCCCGATGACCGTATCACACGTCCCGGGAGAAAGGCCGACCTGGGGCATTGTGCACTGAAGATTTCGCATGCCCTTGTTTGACGTCATCGAAAATTATTGCGCATTCTTCGTTCCCGTCTGGTCTTAGTGGCATGTGAACCCTGGGTGCTCGCGAACGTCCTCGAACGTCATGATACGGTTTAGGACAAGCGTGGGCGTTCCTCGAGGCTGGCAGACATTGCGCATTCAAGATGTATGCGTTCAGCGGGCCGTTTCCTGC